TTTTTTTTTTTTTTTTTTTATGTCTATAGGACACTACGTACATGCAAGGATGTGTTTGGTCATCCAGGTAGCATTTGGAAATGCATATTTAATTTGATAGTATTTGCAAAACACAGTTTGTTTTTTTTCAGAATGACTTGCAGTTGCGGTGTGGAAATGCTTCCGTGTGTTAGAAGATGGTTGTACCATGCTGCTGAGGGGGGGAAAAAAAAATGCGTAATTTAATAGTGAGGTTACGTATATAAAAGCTAAACTACAACGTGAAAAATTTAGCAATTGATGGAGGGAAGCTTTCAGTAAGATAACTGCGAACCAGCCCTTCCCTCAGACCTCACCTCACTGCTAAGGTAAGGGTAGAGGCTGATTTGCTTAGAAAGCATCAGATTGGTAGGAACTCCAGTATGGATCGCATAAATTATGAAACCATACTAACTGAAAATATAGTTTAATATACCGAACTCAAAAGAAATTGAAACTCTTACCTTTAAATAAACAAGAAGTCTACTTTCAGCTCCTGTGTGTTGCCAGATGCAGTTTGTTACATACTTCTGTGGATCACAGGGTCCAGGAGGAGGCAGGTTCCATTCCACCACCAATATTTTTAGGTTTCTTTTTCCTTTGAGGCTTTGCTACCAGCAACAGGACTTTAACAGTTTCTTCACACGAGCAAGAATAGTAATGAACTGCTTGTTTTCTTGTAGCAGGGAGGTGCCAGTGTCTACTCTCAGTCCTTGGAGGAAGAGGTGACCAGGTTGAAGTGCCTAGTTAGGACTCAGGAGGAGAACATATTACTCTGTTTCCCCCAAACTGTAAATCAAAGGTCACCAAAGGAAAGAAGGCTGCAGGTAGTGCAGAAGCAAAGAAGGCGGCCCTGGATCCTTCCATCTTCTTCCTGTGCAGATGGCAGTGCCTTTTACTGGAAGAAATGCATCTTGGATTTGAGAGTTGTATCATGTCTACCATATCAAGGAATTGTAATAATCTAATAGTGTAGAGTCTTACATAAACTTCTTCATATTATATAGTTATTAGAAATCATTTTGAGGGAGTAAAGGGCAGCTGTAATAAATAATATTTCAAAACCTTGTGTTAAAAAGCATTTCATTCATCACTCTAAAAAAAATATATTTCATAAGAGGTTTTTTCAGTTTTTCCCCAAATTTCCAATTTTTCCATTGGGGAAAAAAAGCCTTGGAAAAAAATGGAAAAAAACCCATTTTTTTTCTGAATTGTTCTGGGGTTTTTTCCCTGGCCTTCACATCTCTACAAACAAAACAGTCCTACAAACCAGCTAACATGTATAGCGATCTCCGTTTGCTTTCAGAGTCGCTGATCTAAAGTAAACTCTTGCAGGCAGAGTGACAGGGTTGGGTTAGCACCTGCCATTTTATAGTCCAGAATAGATTAGGACAATCCTGCTTCCCATCCTCATGCTCTTTCAGAGGTGAAATAAGAATCCAGTATGCTGCCTTTTCTTGTTCAACCTGCCTAGATCAGTCTATACCAGTTGCCGGTTACAGAATTAGAGAAATGAAGTAGAGGAACATTTGAATTGACTTGCCTTATATACTGATAGAAGTCTTCTCTGGCTGAGCAGCATGTATTTTCCTGCTGAGTGGAAGGGAAGAATACCACCCTTCACAATCTGAAACTGCAGGAGCTTAATTAAGGGTTTTTATTCCCTTCTCATTTTATTGCAGCCTATGGTTATGGCCAGGACTATGTAAATTGGCAGGGTGGGGAAGCAAGTAGAATGCCAGCCATGTACTTAGGATGAATCTAGAAGAGGCAGTTGCAAGCACCAGTCTGCTTTGGATGCATTTGGTATAGAAAAGCATCCAATATTTGTGACCTTTTGTATGCTTCATTTTCGTGTCGTAAACATGCTTGGCCCCTTCTGATTGTAACTAGGGGGAGAAGCAGACATTACCTGATGTTGCCTGTCTGCCTCCATAACAATTTTTATGGTGGCACAAACAGACATCCCTACCTTTTGTTGTGCTATATCAGTGGCCCCAACAAAAAGTATTATTGCAGCAGATGCCTATTTGCTCTGTGGCAAGAGAGTACGAGCAGTCCAGAGCTGCCTACACTCTCCAGCCACCCCAGATGGGTGCTCTGGGGACTTGAGGGGCCTGATTCTGTGCGCCCTGGGAATTCTGGCAGGATTGGGCCTCTCAAGCCCCAGGAGTGCGTGCCCCACTTACAGATGAGTCCCAGGGAATCTTATGATGCCTCTCTGTAAGCAGGGAAGGTTGGAATTCCTGCTTACAGAGACCTGCCCTGATATCTCTTAACAAAACTTGGCTCTTCTGGACTTTTTCCATCTGTCCCTTCCTTTTCTGCTTCCCACAGTTTAGTCCGTGGCTGAAAACTCAGGCATTGGGAATAAGCGTTCAACCTGGTGTGAAGGGAAACGAAACCACATAGCCCCCTTTGTCGATAGTCAGTGCTAAATTTCTGTAAAATCCAGTTCTGTGCCTTCAAATAATAATGGGTAGAGAAAGCTCTGTTCAGAAATCTCTTTGGTGATTGTATTAAAATAACAGAGAAGGGGGCAAGCAAATATGGACCAAAAACTTTTTCCCCCAGAAGTGTTGGAGACTAACAAAAATCTTACACTTCTTTCCAACAGTGACCTGAATCCCACAAACCCGACATGCCCTGTGATTTCTCATGCAAGTGACTGTTCAAAATATGGTAGGTTTTGTGTGGACAAAGCAGGTAGTTCAGATGTCTTCATTCCATAGAAATCCAAATATAAATGATAAATGGATATGTAAGTGGCATGGTGGATATAGGCTGCTTTTCCTTGCCTGTTGGCATAATCAAGATCTTTCGTTGAAGTAATTTTAAGATTTAAGTGCAATGCCATCTTTTCTTAGTTGCTGGCCTAACTGCTGCCTCCTTAGTGTCATTTTATAAGCTCCTGAGGAGACTCAGAAGAGAGTAAGTGGTTATAAGAATACTGATAAGGGTGAGGAAAAGACAGGAAATGCATGGAGAGGAGCATGCATCGGATACTTGAGTGCTGAGAAAAGGAAGATTCTGATTTAGAATAGTTTGCATAGAGTTTTAGAGATGTTCTAATTTATTCTCTGTGTTGTTGTACTCTCATAGCTGAAGAGAAATATCCTCATGAGGCAGCCTACGATGCATTTCTTTGTGGATCAGGTAAAATATAATGTTCTGTAAGGGTGTTTTTACATGTGTTCTGAGCATGCGGGGGAAAGGGAGGAGGTGGGGGCTCTTGAATTAGAGTGGCTCTGAGAGAGACTAATTTAAACGCCCGCAGTGTTTTATGTGTTCAGTGTCCTGTGCTTCAACATGATGGTGGGGGTGTTTTTAACTAAAGCTTGTTTGTTGAGTTCTAGTTAAAGTGCCCCTGCTGCTATTTTGAAGCACAGAGATGCTGAGCATGCAAGATGTGGAGGCTGCAGGAGCATGCTCATTAGCACACTTCAGCAGACTCAGTTAATCAAGTCTGTTCCAACACATTGTAATTGCAGCATCCCTGCACATCTACAGGCACCCTAAAAATGTAATTGAACAGAAGTTTTTTTTCCCCAGCTAAATTCCATATTTGCATGACATTTATTCATTACTAGGTAACATTTCTTATTTATTGGTAAATTAGTAAAATATCCTTTTGGCTTTGTTTTAAATGTGTATACTTACATGTTTCCTTGCGCTTGTAAGTTTTTCCTCATTCCATTTCTTTTGAGTCAGAAAGTTATTTTAGTTGTGTTTCTCCAGCATTTTTGTAATGCCATCCCTTTTTTTGTCTGTCCATCTAGTTCTTCTAAAAGTAGCTCACTTGCTCCTATGCAGAATGCCATGGTGAGTAATGTTCATTAACTTCTCTTTGGGAATTGTGTTGTTTGTGGCTCTTCTGGAAAATAGTTCTAGTTTGCTAATCTATGGAGCACTGAAACCAAGCTATTCTCTTAGCAGTAGATGTGCCCCCTCTCTCTCTCTCTCATATCGCTGAGGCACATTGACAAGATAGCTTCAGGGGTATGTGAACTGCCATGCACTTGCTGTATCTGTTGTGTACACTGAGGATTGTTCACCAGTACCATGTTTATACTAGACGAGGGGTTCTCAAAGTTTTTTTATGCCACAGCCAGGCAAACCACGGCCTGGAAGTGGCTGCGGCCTGGCAACCCGTGGCCCAGCCATCACAGCCGACCATGGCTGGAATTTCCGGCCAGTAGACGGGTAAGGATACCCCCACATGGGGACGTGGGCCAAACCCTGCACTGCCACAGGCCCTGCAGAAGGAGCCGTGGCCTCTAAACCCAGCTCTGGGGGGCTGCGGTCTGCGGCCACTTCTGGTCCAGCAGCTGACCATGCTGTGGACTGGCAGCTGACCCATCGTGGCCCGGCACTGGGCCGCGGCCTAGGAATTGAGAACCTTGATCTAGACCATTGGGGTGTTGAAGAGCCAACCTATGGAGTTGTTTCACCTGCCCCACATTGCTCCTGGGGGCAGGGCCTGCCAGCAGATTCCCAGCTATAGCACCAGGGGTGTGAACAACAGCAGTGTTAATCCATGTCTTGTTGCCAGGTGTGGATCTGACATAGGGGCCAGAGTGAGTTTGATACCCCTGGTCTAGAGAAATTATCCTTGCTATCCTCTGCCCTTTAAAAAGGCTACTGTAGCTGTGAATTCTCCAAAGCCACATTGTTATATATTTGATGTAGTACAGATTATTATGTGTTGTTTTTTGTCATCATGTGTGTTTGTTTTTTCTGGCACAGTGACACAAAAGAGAATGGTCCCTCTTTCTCTCAATATCTAAATGTATTAGCTAAGTACCTGAACCAGGTGAATCTCATCCGAGCTTCTGTCTCAAAAATTGTGAGTACAAATTGCTGCATATTTGTTTTATACTCTCTCTGAATCACAAAGTTAGTACATCAGCTGCTCCTGTTGGTGAGTGAAAGAAATTGTCGAGCTGGTGTCTGACTGTGCAAAGGCTTCTCAGTGACAGTATAGTTGATCTTTTTTTAAACGCCAAATATGTAGGTCATCTGTTTTATCATGTTACAAATTAAGTATATTCTTTCTCTGCAACCAAAATGCCCCTTTTCTCACTGCAGCAGTTATAATGGAGTGGAACTGCAGGAGAAACGGTTGTCTGGGTATTCCTGCTTCCACTCCTGTGATTAGTAGCAAAGGATGCCATGAGAGAGACTGATTGATGTTATCTTGTTTCTTTATTTTCTTGTGGACTCTGATGACTTGCATTTTGGGTTGTGTGACCCAAGGATAAAAAATAATGCCCTGTTGTTGTAGAGCAGGTACTACTTATCTTGAATGTCACTCTTTGCTGCTTTTTCCTTTTCCCTTTTTGTGATTAATTTTGGAAATATTAAAAACAATAGTCAGATGTGGATTAAATCTTTGGCTTGGTTTTTACCTCATTATTTTCCAGAATTTCTCTGGTGCAGATGTCTCCAGCCGCCATCTCCCTCTCCTGATTGCCAGTGTTCAGGGGTGGCCTGGGGTGAATGAAGAGCAGATCTATCAGGAGCTGAAAGGTCTGTGTAGGTTTGATGTCAGGCAGCTGACCAAGAACCAATTCCTGCTACTCTCCAATAATTTTAAGAAGTAAGCAATAAAAAAATTCTGAACCTCTCACCCAATAACCCTCCCCCCATTTCCTTTTGTTCTACTGCTGATGTTTTATATATCTATATAAGGGATTTTTTTGTCCCAGCTTCAAAAGACAGTAAGGGCTGCATGGGAGAAGTACCTCATGATGCAATTCATTTATTACAGCGTCAGGGTTGTTTTGGAAGATTATAAAGATTACCCCAATTTACGGATTTCTTTCTATCACTACTGGAGGCACTCACCACAAGTGAACTGCTTGCTACAGTAAGTGGCAATGATCTATTGTAAATAATAAGGGATCTGGGTTTTCTGTTTCCCACGAAAAAACGGAAAAAAACATAGATTTTCCCCTTTAACTGAGAAAAATGCAGATCACTCATTTTAATGGAGAAACGCATGGATTTTCTACTTTTGCAAAGAGCTCTTGGCAGGTGGGAGAGTTCCAGCCTGCAAGGGGCTGGGGGGAGTGGGAGGAGGGTGGCCAGTCGGGGAGCACCATGTGCATGTACATGCACATGGCAGCCTGGAGAGCAGCTTTGGCAGGTCAGTCTGGTTGGGGGGGGGGGCAGGGGGAAGAATTGAGGGCCCAGTAGGGAGGGAGGAAGGAAGTTGGGCAGAGCTGGGGCTGGGGCTGCTGCCTAGCCAGCGGGTGTGTGGGGCTTGGGGCCTGGGGCCACAATGTATGGCTTCAGGTCCTGGGCAGGGAGTGGGACGGGGCCACTAGTGGCCCATCCGGGGGGTGGGGGAGGGCTGACTCTCTGTTTCTGTGTGTGCTTCTGAGGGGGGTGGGGGAACCATGTGCCCCCAGATCTGTGTGCAGGGTGGGGAGGGTGTGGGCTTGGGCTTCCCACCCTATTCCCCCTAACTCAGGGCTTCCACAGCCCACTGGGCAGGGCCCAGTGCAGCAGGGCTGGGCAGGGAAGCTCTGTGCTGCTGCAAGCTCCACGTCACCCTGGTGAGGCACACCGCCCCCCTCACCCGCCCATCTGGCAGCAGCAGGGGTGGTGGCTTGGAGTTGTGCCCCTCACTGCTGCCAGGTGGGCAGGGGGTGCCTCGCCAGGGTAGTGTGGGGATCACAGCTGGGGCTCAGGCACTGCTGCAGCCAGTGGGGGGCTCCAGCCCTTGGTTTCTGGCCCCATAGTCCTGGCAGTTGGAGAAGTGGAGGGCTGTGAGTGGGGGGCAGGGGGGACCAGCAGGGTCAGGAGGGCTGTGGGGTGGAGAGTGATGGACATGAACCCATGTCCTGGTTTTCCATGGTAAAAAAACTCAAATCAAACACCAAAATGTATAGGTATTTAGAATTTAGTTTAGTATATTGATTGAGGCAGTGGTAGGCTTCCAAATTGCTTTAAAATTGAGAATATATCAATAAAACATTGTGTTCAACTGATACTTATATACATAGTGGCGTTTCATTTTAATTGCAGGTTTTGGGGGTTTTATCAGAGAATTTGTGACTTTTATGAGAGAACCAGAATCCCTGATGATAATCCATTCTGACCTCCCTTCTGCTGTATATCTGCAACTGAATAATTTGCTACCAATTAAGTAATGTGTGACACTAACAAATAGTGAACCCTAATGAAAATATCTTTTAGGCGAGGCTTCTGTAGTGACTTAAAAAGCTTGTGTAAATTATTCTGACTTGGATCACCAATTAAATGTTCTTTTGTGGACCTCCCAAAACCATCACGCTGTCTTCATTGATGGATGCTAATCTGTACAAGGCTCAAGATTGCAATGACCAGTGGGGGAAAAAGTGGAGAATTAAAGTATGTGCGACGGGAGGGGAGAGAGAGGGAAGAGTTAAAACTTTCACGAGTTTGTAAAAGCAGTGAGGCAGTGCAGGAAAATGTTATTATTAGACCTGACATATTTCAGGGAGGAGTCGCACTTTCAGAAGCACCTCTGTAATTGTAAACAGCTTCAACAATATTTCAATATTCTTTTCTCTTGTAGGATTTGTGGCATTGTGGCCTCCTGGTCTCTTTTGGCTTTTGTGCTTGGAGGATCTCTGTGCCAGCCGGTTTAAGTTTCTTAAACATCAGGAATGCTGATCTTAGCCATGTGCTCATATACCAGGATGTCCCTTTGCTTTTTCTATAGTCTGTTAACAACATGATGGTCAGTAAAACATTTTTACCTTTTCTACTTTGTGCCTGTCTTGGTTTTTTTATGTCCCAAATATGAAGGAAAATTTGTTCTGTTTTAAATAGACTAAAACTTGTACAATCCTCTATTGAAGAAGAAGTGGAATGGTGTGACCCCACTGTTTGATGGGGGCATTTTAATGTTGTTGATTCTTCAGGATCAACTAATAGCTGAGTTCTGTTCCCATGGCTGTACTGTCACAAAAAGTGCTATTTCATGCACACTTAAATTGTAGTTCAGGGAAGTGATGCAATAGAAGCAGCCGCTTAAACTTTAGTGATCTTTCAGCTGTAACTGAGGGAGGATATTACAGTTCCCCAAATGTCTGGGTCCTGAAAGGTTTTTAGATACAAGAAAGCACACAAGCCTGTAGAATTGCTACTCATGTTTGAGCACTTTGTCAGAACAGAAGTGGCCATTCACATTAGTCTGAAATCAGGCAGAAGATAGGGCCTGGTGGTAGCTTAGGGTGCCTATACATGAGCTGGAAGGCTGTTCCAGCACTAATTACGGTGTGGGTAATTGGGTATTCTTGTCTTTAGTAGATTTCTGGTGCACATTCATTCTGGTGCACAGTTAATGAATGCACACTGGAAATCTATTAAAGGCAAGAATACCCAATTATCTGTGGGGGCACATTTCTCACAAGAAAACCATTCTCTCTCCAATCTCACAGTTCTAATCCTCAAAGAGAATTTACAGAACACCTTTCACAGACAAGCCTACAAATTTCACTTCATCAACCTCCTGGATACAAACAATCATGGACTAAACATAGACATTGGATTTATGCCATGTTATAACCTGCCTGACATCTGACTCCCCAGCTACCTCTCCACTATTTACCTTCTACATTCATCCCCCTACTCCCCCCACCCCAAGCCTGTCTCTCACCCCCTAACTCCTCAATTTACATTTTCACTGACTGCCTTTCTTGCCTGCGTTGCATTCCAGCCTCTGGCTTTACTGTTCATTCCATCCAGGAAGAGCACACGCCAACTGCAGATGCTTCCTCACCCTGATGAAGAGAGAGTTCTGGAGATTTTTTTTGTAAATTAAGTGACTGTTGCATTTGGGGGATCCACCAAGAGTTGGGAGGGGACCTCCAGCCATCTATACTGCAGCTATTCTTGTGATGGCAGTATAGTGAGTCATGTCTGAACTTACTTTTAAGCTTACGAGTTTGGCTGCTTGTACAGTCTAGCCCTGCAACATGAAACTTAGCACAGGCTACAAAACTCACCCAAGAACCTGGGTAACTACTCAAGTGGGTTAGCCAGTGCTATTTTATCTGTGCTACAACTGGAACCCATGCCAGCAAGTTTAAAGCTTGCTCAGATTGGTCTACACTGCACTGTACTATCAGCAGTCCTATGTAAGTGCAAGCTATATACACTACTTTCCCAAATGACCACCTGAGTTTTGTCTTTGCCCTTGTCCTTTCTCAACTCAACTACTTCCTCTGTTGTCTCCTGTTGTTCTCTTTCTAACCTAGAATATAAAATCTTTGCAGCAGGGATTTTTTTCTGTAAAGATCTCTACACTGGTATAGCGTTTAGTCTATAAGTAGGATCTAATAATGAAGGCTATATAATGATAATGAAGGCTGTATTCAAATTTATCTGTCTGATGCTTGTACAGTCCAAAGCATTAAGCAGCTATTTACTAAAGAGGAATCTTGAAAGTATACACATTTTAGACCAGTTTTGTAAGTTTATTTCAAATACACTAAAAGGTTGGTACACTAGCCATAACCATAACACTTCGAAGTACAGAGACTGCTAGGTGCTAAGAGTAGAGCACAGACCTTTTAACTCAGTGTAGTTCTCCTGTCAGGAGTGATGTAACTAGGGCTCGGTGAGAGGGGCACCTTCCCCAGACACCAAGCTAGAAGGCTGGCTAGAAATATCCCCAACCCTGCAGCGTACCCATGTCAGGAACTCCCAAAACAGCCCACAGTTACTGCAACAGCTGAGGTGGCCAGAGGACAGCATATGTGGTGGCAGCAACAGCCCAGCCGAGACTGTTTAGGAGTTCCTGGCATAGGTAAGAGAGTGCTACCTCCCACCCCCATGCTGGGAGCTGGGTGCCCACCACCCCACTCTCCCACAGTATTTTCCCTGGATTCCAACTCTTTTTGTTACACCTCTGCCTGTCAGCAATGGTGGGATGTTCTGTCAATAATCTACTTCAATATCAATAGAGAGAGACTTTAAATACTTGATACAAAACCTCCTGCAGATATAAAACACAACAAAATTAAAACTAAAAATATCAACTTGAAACCAATGTAAAAAAGGTATGTTAGATGGAGAATATGGTTGGAGAAGTTAGGATGTTCATGATGGATCCTGATGAACTTCCTGCTGAATTTTAAGGCATATGAAGTGACAATTTTATTTTTCTCTGTGTACCTAAATTATTTCGACTGTGCTAGAAAGACACCAAGAGATTTAGCTTGAAGTTGTAATAGAGTTAAGTGAAAAACAGGACCTGATAGTTAATCAAGCGGAGACTAAGAATGCTGACAGAAGTGATGTTTTGTTGTGCGATCAGCCCCCTGAAAGTGCTCTTCAGTGTCCCCTGGCAGAAGTGCAGAGCACTTTAAATGAACTCCATTACATGAGGGTTCAGATGAAGGCACTCCAGTGTGGAGCACCTTCAATAACTTCTGTCAGTGCCTGCCCAGGAGCAGGGTTGGGCTCATGCAGCCTGGCCCTGCTGCTGGTACTGCATGGGGTGCTCCAATTCACACCCCCAGCACAGGCTGGGCAAGCCCTTGACAGAGCTCCCTCCTCTCCATCCCCCACAACCCCTCTCATCCTGAAGACAGCACCAGAGCTGGGGCAGGGGAAGGTGCTAGGGGAGAGAGGCTGCAGACATGTAGCCAGCTCCAAAGTGGAGCTCGATTTCCCCCACCCCCTTGGACCCAACAGAGAACATCCAACACCAGGGGTGTTGCTGTAACTCATGGTGCTTCCTGTGAAGTCCCATGAATTACAGTGGGGAGCTGCACGTCTGTCAGTGCCCAAAATATAGGGTCAGGATTATAGGGTCTGTCTTGATTTAAATGGGACTGTTTTCTTCTTATGCCGTTGATGGATGATTACCATAGACAATAACTCTCTTTATGATCACTTTCCATATGCTTAGAGTTACTGTGGGGCCAGCAAGGGACAAAATATGCCACTCAAAGTTGTAGAAGAAAAACAAATATGTGCATAGAAATCAGCTGATTGACTGAAACTTTTCCCAGATTCCCGCTGTATAAAATCATTTGCAATTCATTAACATAATCTATTCTAACCTTCTACACACACAAATTATATAAAATAAACTATGCTGGCTTCAAACTGCTTCCAATTCCCCTGGAAGTTAATGGGAGTTTTAGCAGTGATTTAAATTGGAACAGGATTAGGGCCTAAGTTATGTAACCAGAGCATTTTAACTTCAAGACATTGTTTGCAATCATGTCTAGCTGAAGAGGGAGAATAGTGGAAAGAATAGGGTACTCAGCTGAGATTTAGGAAACCTGGGTTTGATATTAGCCACAACAGTTTCTGTGTCTTGACAACTCATTTGCTCTACCCTGTATCTCAATTTGGCATCTCTAATGTGGAAAGAATAATTTGTTCTTACCTCCTACGGTGTTCCCAGGATAAAAGACTTTGTGAATGTGAAGTATTTAAACAATGATGAAAGTTCTTATAAGTACACAGGTAAATTTATGGCCAGCATTCATTATTCTTATGTAATGGCTATTCGGTCACATGATGTCCTATTAAATTTCCCAGTACATCAAACACAGCAGCCACCCAAGAACTGATACACTTTGTCTTAGGAGACAAGCCAAAAATTTAATGATTCTGGAGAGTAAACTACTTTTTCATCCTTTTGAGTCTTGTTGGTAGGCCTATTAGGGAAGTCTACTGCTCTACAGATGGGATGGGGGAACATTGCTGCTTCATTGCCCTATATTACCAACTACCACAGCTACCTTCATGCCACCAGCTTTGTCAGGGTGGACCACTGCAGGTGGTCACCAACTCTGAGTTACCATAGGCGCTGTGTGTAGGGGGGCTGGGAGGTGGTTTTGTGGGGGGTGTGCATGCATGAGGAGCACAGGTGCCCCAGCAGCTGTGGATAGCAGGGGACCCTATGGGTTGTTCTGGTGCAGTGTGTGTCCACTAACCTGAGATGCTGGCCTAGTGCTAGGACTCATCTGGGGCTCGGTGGGGGCATGAGGCAGAAGGAAGGCCAGATGAGCAGGCAGCAGGCAGGACTCCCCATGCAGGAAGCCTAGCCCAGCAGCACGGAGCTGCCACACAGTGCCACCTGGCTGGCCTTACCCTCAGCAGTGGTGGTGGTGGCTGGGGAAGGGGGACACTGCAGCAGGTTGGTAATGGCGGGGCTGCCCAACTGCACTGCCTTCTCGCTGAGCACTGCAGCCTTGCCCTTGGCTCAGCCCTCAGCGCCCTCCTTCCAGCCTGTCATTCTGCCTCGCAGTGCCTGCTGCTGCCACCCGGGCGCATTTTATCCTGCTGCCCTGGCTGGCCAGCTCCAATCAGCTCCGGGCATGGCTAGGAAGGGCAGGACTTGCTGACCAGGCCCTGGGATTAATTGCCACTGATGTCCCCCAATAGCTTCTGCCCAGCACAAGCAGCAGGGCAGGGCGTGCATATGTGTAGCCCCACCTGACAACAGTGCCCTGGGCAGCCACCCACGCTGCCCACCCTAAAGATGGCTCTTGTGTACAGG